GGTTGCGGATTGCCATGTTGCACAAGACTATAGCGGTCAACATCAAAATAATACCTTTTTCGTTTCATTAAGGAAACTTACACAATATTTATTAAAATACTGCATTTATTTGGGTACTTTACGTAAGTGTAATACATATAGTTAGTACGTTCATATTTAATGAGCACTTATTGTACCCTTTCATTTTTTCAAGTTTATTCTGTCAGGTTGCTGCACTGCCGCAACCGTGGCCACCTGTTGCACCCTATCTTTTGTCTATTTTGTTCTTATTTTATTATCATCAACTCATTTATTCGTCCTGCTGTTGGGCACAGGTCTCCTCTCAGGTGTAGGTTTAGGCCATAGTCAGCCACGCTGACCCAATGCGGGCTGGGGACTTCAGTGCAGGTTTCTTCATGTTGTTTTCCTTCATCGAAAAGTTTGCGGTAAATTTCAAATTGAATTTCGCCCATAAATTTCGAAAAACTCAAAGGTGACTTAAACTTGACTCAAAGACTGGATTCGAATTTACGGCCTGTGCTTGAGAGGCAGTAGGTCAAACAATAAGTTACCACTTCTTATCTTAATTCAACAAAAGCAGTTGCGGCTCGCATCAATTTTATGGCTTTCTAAAATAGCCGCCCATCTCAAAATCAACAGTAAGAGTATTAAAAAAAATTATGGAGTATATGTGGCAAGGTCGACAAATTACACACCAACGGAAACTTACTGATTTATTTGCCATAAAATAAATAAATAAAATGATCTTTATAGAATAAGAAATGAAAACAGGGGTACGAGTTCTTAGGTTTTCGTGATTTTTACACATAGGAAATGAAACTGTTCCGGATTTAAATCGCGTATATTTGTTTTTTCTAACACACCGACGTTTCGGGCCCTTTACAGGTCCCGTGGTCACGGTTGAGGGAGGGGTATATTCCTAATCAAAGCTTGATATGAAGTTGATAATTACAGCACAACATAGATAACCTCCTTTAGCCTACCGGGGTTATCTGTGCAGCAGAATTAAGAGAAAGTATCGAAATTACGTGGTTAAATTTTGTTTTGACAGGGAATAAAATCTGGAAACAAGCTGCGTCACATCGCACATTGTAGGTGTCCTCCAGTGCGGCACACGCTGCGCACGCCTTCGCGCTGTCACACAAACAAAACATCGTGCGTGGTCGTACGACGCTGTTACAGTTTAAAATTATTTCATTTACATTTTGTTATTGTTGGAGATAATATAGAAGCGAACCCTTTCGGACATGTGGAGAAAATTGGAGAGAATTGCGCTGTGACGATAGCGTACTTGGAGCGACCGAATAGATGCTGATAGTATGTTGTGTTGTAGTTAGTATATTATGCTGACGTCCAAAGTATTGTTGAAGCGATAATATCCCAAAAACCGGAAGTACCTGGTAACTGGCAGGAGCAGGTTCAGAACCCATGGGTGTGGTAAAATTTGGTGTCGGAAGCCAAGATCACTATGCTACCAGTAGTATTTGACACAAAGCAAAGCTATATATCTATAGCTCTATTACGAGCGAAAACGTCATTTCGACAAATTTTTCAGGTGACTATGTTTTACTTTATCATGACTGTATTAAAATATTTACGTCTTGTTTTAATTTCAGTTTTAAAACTTAAACTTAATTAAAATCAAAATGGAATTTTAAAATTGGACGTAAATATTTTAAAACAGTCGTTAAAACGTAAAACATGGTCCCCTGTAAAATTTTTCGAAATGGCTCTTCGCCCTTTCTTCAAAACACGACGATATAATATATATAATATGACGATATAATAGACCGCATTTATATTTGACCAGTATTAATGGACCACATGGTAGTAAAAAGCAATAATAGATATCGTAGCTACTAGTATTAAACTGGAAATGAACATTTTGAACAAATCTGCTCTTTCAGGTGTTATTTAAAAAACTAAAAAATAAATAACTTACAGCAAATACTGAGTTAGTGACCCTTTTGTTACCACATCTGACACGATAGTTGTTGCTTAACGCGAGTGCTTGTATTGAAACCTAAGCTAGCGAAGTAAGCTAAGATTCTCTCGTGGGACGTGAGAAGGCTCACTTCGCTCGTGGTTCATAAATAGATTCCTGAGCGTAGCGAGGGTTCCAAGGCACGAGACGCAAAACAGCTTTGCTGCCGAGCTAACCACACTACTTTTCACCTCACTATAGCGAGGATAATGGTAGATGAAAGAAAAACAGTTGATCTATAAATCATCAGTATTTTTAATAATCTTCGGATGTGGTCCGAATTTACACCTCATCAATTTTCATTCTTGTTTGTATTTTTATTTTGTGTGATTGTCAATTATTTTAGTTCTTCGACGAAGTAAAATGATTTAATAAACACAATTAGTTATCATTGTCAATTTAATGTCAACAATAATAAGAATAAAATATATCAACGGATTTATGTTATATAAATAAGTAATGTACCATAAATGGCGTAGTTGAATGTGACATTATCTATTTTTCATCGAAAGAAAAAGTTCAAAGCACCTGCCCACAGTCGATCATCAAAAACCATTTTCACACCAGGGTGCAAAAACTCTTTTGCGCGCACATTTCCAATGAGAAAGAAAGCCTTTCCGAGCTAGTGAAATGAAAAATAGCTTTATTATACTTAGTGTCTTATATTATTATATGTTCTATGTTTATGTAAATAATGTTTAAATTAATTTTTAATTTTGTATGTGATCTTGTTTTGTCATTATTTATTTTTACGTGTAAATCTTTTATGATATATATAATTAAATATAATTTTTGCTGTTTTTTTTCAGTTTACTTTTTTTTTCTTGTCTGGTCTCCTCTGTGTGTGCAGTCAATTAAATTGTATTTTTTCTTCTTTCTTAGTTTTAAATTTTACTTCATAATTTCTAACAACGTGAACTCTGCTTTATGGAGAGAGGTTCGGAGTTATCAATTGAATATTTTAACAAGTCACATATATACATATAGAGTTCTATATCCAGTAGTAGACGTCATTCGGCTGAAATAATGATGATGACATAAAGAATACATACAGCACATCGAGTATATTACCAGAAATAGAGACGAAATAAGGGCCGCCCATCCCTGGCAACTCACCAGTCAAGTAGTACTGATATCACTTTTAAATATCAACTCTCGTTTGCGCTGAAATCATAAATTAGAAAGCTGAAATAGTACAGCGCCAACAACTGACCTGTGTGTAAGTCTCCGTACACTCCAAAAATATTGTTAGTAACAAAGATAATATGTTTAACTGTGGGGGCTGTTCCATTCGGTGGAGTGGGAAAAATAGCAAAACATCTAATTACAAAACAAACGGAATACATTTCATCGGTAATTAAATATGTAGTCGTCCATTATAGCAAAGCAAAACTGGGGTTTAAAGTGAAACAATCGACGACAGCCGTCAATTGTTTCGAATTCGCGCTGGCCAATCGGACTGCTGCTGCCACCGTGATGATATGGCAGAATAGTTTTCAAACAAATTAAATGGCATGGTGATATACTCGATGATACAAGACATGAAATGTCCGTTTAACTCGTAAGCGGAACAAACTCGTACTAATTATTATGTAGAGCCGCGGCCGCCATTTTTTGTTCGTACAATTTGCGGTGCGCGCCAAAATGCTACTCGCGACAACGAGATGGCAAGGACTCCGCTAAATGATCAATTGCCACAAAAAACTTAATAAAAACTGTTTTAGGCAAGTTTTTGGAGAGTTGAGCACTAAGTGGTATTTATAGTTTTGGTATTTATACAGGGTGGAAAAAAATCAATGGGACATGAAGGGGAACTTGCTACCTTAAATGCTTAACATAGATTTATATAAAGGAAACATAATTTTTTTTAATATGAATTAAAATACAATAAACATGGTAACATGGTCCTCCCGGGTGAACCAGTCAGGTTGGCTTTGGGCACGAAGTGTTTATATTGCTGGTGGTACACTTCAGAAAGTTCATTACAAAATTTATGTTTTTACAAACATATGCATAACTGATATTGTTCTTTTATTACACCAAGTTAAAATCAAAATCTTTATTTCATAAGTAAGCATTATTACACTTGAAATCGTCACATTGGTGAAACTCTACCGCTCATTCGTAAGGCAGATTCCCCTGCGAAGAATGAGCAAGAAACCCTAGGGGTTGCTCTTTCTAATTAACATTTGTACGCATTCAACATTTACAATATATTTTTTGTTTTGCTTTCAAATATCAGAGATCGAGCTAAACGGGCTCCTACCACGGATTTTTGTCATACAAGTACGCGGAATTCGATGGGACAATTCGTTTTAAATTTTCTATTTCCAGAATTATTGATAGATCCGATATATTTATTTATAGCTTCAGTAACAGCTTAACACAACTAACATTTACATACATTGTAATAATAATATGTAAGGTCTTGGAAATAAAATATACCTAGGAGACCGTGCCCACACAGCTATCTGTAGCGTTATGCAGGCATATCTATTAGCAATTGAAATGTTACCTACGTTTTAATAACAAGAAATCCCTATAGTACACCTAGAGGAAAAAATGATCTTTCGGCCTGTTGGTTCCATTAGTGGGTCCAGTACTCATGTACCCATTACATAACATGGGTGGAACTATTAGGATTTGTTAATCCCATTGCCCATGGTCAATCAAGGTGAACCAGTCATATGATTTACGAGAACGAAAGGTGTTGAGCTACTGGAGAAAATAATTACGTGTGAGACGTTTTTCTCTAGTCCTTAAATTGACATCTCAGTATTAAATAAGGCATCTCTATGGTAGTACGGTAGGGACATAAAAGTACCCACCTCACTACCAGTGGTTCTGGGTGCCGCGGAGTTCCGTAATTACTAATTTTTACAAATTTTTTTTTTACTAATTTTTTTATGAGTTGGACGTGAAGATTAAAACAAATTTTTTTTCCAAACAAATTTATTACAAAAACGATATGTGAACCCGCTACATGACTACAGACATTTTCTTTTCAGACAAACTCGTCATTTCATTACCTCAGGTCACTTTCACACTCGGTCTTGTTATACGCATTATGACAACCTATATTATGGCAAACTTTTGTTATGAAAATCATAATTATAATTTATTATGACTAATTACGCCAAAACATTTTATTATGATCAAATTAATACGGCGAACTTGATTGAAAAAATCATTAATGTACCAGTTCAAGTTGAATTAACATCGACATAAGTGCAATTATGACTCCTAACCTTGGAGAAACAAAATTGATGTGAGTGATGTTAACAATAGCACTGAATATTTACAAACTATATTATTATTATGGCTACGTATAAAACTGTTTGTTGTTTTATTTGTCGGTGTATTATTAATAATGTTTATAACGTATTGTAATTGGACAAATCGAAATTGAATTCTGACAATTCGACCTCTATTATGACTATGATTTAGGTTAATTTCTACAAGTGTTATTTAAAATCGATGTACTACAATCAATATTTCACAGTTATTTACAGCAAGAATTATAAAAAAATTGTTTCGCATAATAAACTTCGTGGCAACAGTACCGCGCCACCAAATCCATATTTGAGACTAAGTTTCCGCAGTATCCAATGTAACAAACTCATCGGCCTGTATTTAAGGAGAAGATTGTAGGCAATATTTAAGGACAAGTTATGCGTAGACCAAGAGACTCAGTGCTAAAGTGCCTGTCAAAGTTGTTGTTTTTCACTTTTCATGTTGGTTCAGTCTACGCAAACTTGAGACAGACATGCCATAAATCTTGAATGATGCCGGCTCCTCGAAGTGGACAGTCTGGAATAGAAGTAGCTATTAAGATGGTACATATGATGTATATACTAATTAACCCATTATGTTCCACTGCTGGGCAAATGTCTCCCCCAAAATCCTCCAATGCTCCCTGTCTTTGGCGATCTCGCACCACTCTCTCTCAAACCCATCAAGGTCGTCCCGTCAACGCCTTCTCGGCCATCCACGCCGTCTCTTTCCATCCTCAGGCACCCATGGAGTGACGACGTTCGCCCACTTCACAAGTTGCATCCGGCTAGCGTGGCCCGCCCAATCCCACTTAAGCCTGGCTGTTTTGCTCCCCACATCAGCAATGCCAGTCATCGAACGCAGCATTGTATTGCGTACTCGGCCAATACGTTTGAAGCCCAGGTCAGATTTTCGCCTTTAGATTTCTGGAACTCAGTCAGCGACCATGTCTGTGCACCGTAGGTTAAGATGGGCAGGATGCCAGGTTGAGTTGGCATCTAAATGGCATAGGGACCAGTAGCTCTTTCAGGCGTTCTCTATGCGACGACTGATTACCTTATCCTGTCTATTTTCAAAGCTGGCTAACTGGCCCAGATAGATATACTCACGGACATACTGCCTTGCTTTGCCTTGATTGCCTGCCCGTCTACCTTAACCCTATCATATAAAAAAAATAAATTCCTAATAAGGCCCATATGATTTAGGCTTTATTAGGTAGACACAAATATAAATCAACAACAGGTTTCGTAACTATGGTTAACGAAATCTATTGCACCAGGTAAGATCCAGAGCGTGGATCACAGTCTCTATCTCTAAGCCTATTTTAGCAAGTAGGTTAAAGCTTTCATCAATCTGTATTTTTTACCTCTGAATCTTCTTCCTTCGTTGATATGACAGGTGAAATGTTGGGGGCTAGTTTTTCGGCGAGACTTTGCACCTGAATAATTTACAATTACATTAAAAACTTACAAAAATATCCAAACTTTTTTGAAATAATATCAATTTTTTACGTGAAATATGGGCCACGTTTTCGCACCCTTGGTGTAATAAGGCCACACCAGGCGACAATATAATATATGGAAATTCCAAATTAATTTTTTAAAGAAGTAATAAAAGTAAGCATACCATAAGAGGGTAAATATATACAAACCATATTCAAGGCCATTCTTGCTTTAAAGTTCAATTAATTTATAATTTTTTTTAATTAGGTCAGTTTCATGCTAGACAGTTATGAACTAGACACAATGGTCATCATTTCCTAACGTAATTATGAAAGTACTAACAGTTGGATGTTGCGAGAAGCAAGCGCGTGCTTTGCCGATGCAAGGTGGTGCCACAGCGCGGCCGACGCGGTCGCGGTCAGCAGGATCGAACATGTAATAACCTAGAGGGGGCAAGATGAACATTTTTATGGTTTTGTAACCACACACTCGACGCCATATTCCCATTAATAAATATAATAAACACACTCATAGCTCCGCACTAGGGAAATCCTGTATCGCGGATGCCATGGACACACACATAGACAACCACAAATTACACATTGGAGTAGTCACTCGTCTTCTATCCAATCAACGATCCTGACACACATCTTTCGTATTATCAAAATGCTTTTTTATGAAAATGATATTTATAGAAAAGGATTCAGTTTAAATACAAGTTTTTAAAAATAAAAATTATTATTTTGCATTGCTAAATAAATACCCTCCGTACTACAACAAAAACATCTCAAATAAAATGCAGTAATACACCGCAAATCCTGCACTTAAAAAGCACTAATGAAATTTTTGGTGGGTAAATATGATAATATTCCGTTTGAGTGGTTCTAATGTTTACCATGAAATTAGTCCTTAAAGTATAGTTTATAAACATTTATATTCAGGGTAAACTTAAAAAACGCAACTTACGGTATGTTTTCAATAAATAAACACCGACATCACCAGCCCAAACAATAACACACACGATTGTCGTGACGTATTTTTGAAGTTGTTTATTTTTTTTAAATGACAGACCCAGGCATTAAAAATTTTATGGTTTGCTAGACTAGTTACCGAAATAGCAATTAGTATTAGTTCTTTTACCTGTTATAACTTCGATATCCGATAAATCGGTATAAAATCATCACCGGCACCTCTAGGTATGGTATGCTTCCAGAGACGCATGAATCGCGTGAGAGGTTATATACGCGCGTCAGTTTACGAGCAAATGTGATGATTAGGACATTTTCGCTTGATAACACATGCTCGTAAATAGCATGATTGGTGGCTAACTTGACTATGACGCCCGAAATAAAAATCACGGGCCTTTCTTCTTTCCATTACAGCCATGGTCCGTAAGGAGTTTTATTTCATTTGTAGCGCAACATTTCTTCCTTATATAGGTCAGGTTCAAATTCAAGCAAGGAGATTACTTAAGTTCAATATTAAAACATTGGCTTAAAATAATATCTAAACACAAATTTAATTGCAATTCAGCTACATACTACTTAAGCACTTATTATTAAGAGCTCTCATGCCAAATAAGTTTTGACGTTGGCTCCGCCCAAATTTGTGAAACAAAATATATGCCTAAAGTTCGCGTGACATGCGACAGGAGATGTTGAATTTTGCGCATTAAAAGTACCAAATTCGTTTTAGCGGAATAACTCTAAAACTAAAGGGATTAAAAAAAAAATCCGTAGTGACAGTTCTCGATCATGCATAAATATAATTTAAAAATGTGAAAATTAGAGGTCATTTCGTGATTTTTATCTATCGGGGAAACTTTATTGTTTATTGTTTTATGTTTCTGATTCATGTCTATGCTTGAATATTTTTAACTTTAAAGTGGATATACCCCTCTAAAATCAAATCGAAGATTAGAAATTGTTCCTCTGCTCCCTGTATGCGTGTTTGCGTTTTACAAGATTTTAGTTTGACTTATATTATTTATGGAAGAATTAAAAAAAAACCTGCCCTTTGCCTAATCCATAATTGTTGTATTGTTAACCATATTATTATTTATATCGTGTTTATTTCTTTGCAAATGTGATGGAAAAACGTGATGAAATACAAAATTCGAGATTTAAAGCCCTCAGCCTTTGGCTTCGGGCTTCGGGCTCCTTGGTAATTTCTTATTCACCGTCCACAATGTACTATTTTGACCTGGCCTTTCTTTAGGACGACCTTAATTTAGTCGTGGTAAGTTCGCTTTGGCCGGCACTTACCAACTTGTCCTTATCCTCTCCACATATCCGAAACACGTAATCATTCCTATTTCTATACCAGTGCCTTCATCTTATTTCAAGCCGCAATGCTCTTTTATCACATTATTCCACAAAGCTTTCATGTCCTTCTCATTCATTGTACTTACAGTGAATAGCAAACAACGCCATTAGTGGCCTTAGAAAATTAGGTTTTATTAATCAGCAGGCTACCGTATAAGACGACAAACATCACAAAGATATTTGAAAACACTAGCACCAGTAATTTCGTACACGCTAGTTGGTTAAGGCTACACATGACCTGCGTCTTTCTTTAGGATATCCTCAATTTGGTTGTAGTAATTTCGCTTTGGTCGGCACTTACCAACTTGTCCCCGATCACAGCTGTTTCTATTTTCTTCAAACATCCTCTCCACATATCCGAAACACTTAATCATTCCTATTTCTATCCCAGTGCCTTCATCTTATTTCAAGCCGCAATGCTCTTTTATACATTATTCCACAAAGCTTTCATGTCCTTCTCATTCATTGTACTTACAGTGACTAGCAAACAACGCCATTAGTGACCTTAGAAAATTAGGTTTTATTAATCAGCAGTCTACTTACCCGAAACACATCACGAAGGTATCAATATCCTGTTCCGGCTCAGTGTTGCTATTTAAATCACTATTTCTACTAATTTAGTATTATACTAAGAATTTCAGTCTCGCAGCATTTTCACGTCACCAGAGATAATTAAGTGGTTTGGACAAATAGAGACGGTGGATGAAACATACTTGGCAAAAATTATGTAATTGGGGACAATTTGGTAAGGACCGATCAAGATGAACTAAATATGACTAAATTGAGGATGTCCTAAAGAAATTGTCTAATAATTTTACTGTCTCCGTGGCCGCATGGTTAGCATGCGGACGGACTGCCACCCAAAGGTCGAAGAGAGTTTCGATTCCCGGGTCGGTAGAAATATTTGTATAGCCTACATTTATTTCTCTCGTGAGTTTGGGTGTAATTTGTGGTTGTCTATGCGTGTGTCCATGGCACCCGGGACACAGGGTTTCCCTAATACGGGGCTAGTGTTGAGTGTCTGCGTTATTATTATAATAAGCGAACAAATGTATAGAAAATAATAAATATATTATATTATAAATAAAGTATAAGGTATATTGGAACTCGCTCATCTGGCAACACTGAGCACATTAAATATAATAAACTGCAATTTGTCACCTTACCCACACGGCGTTGTATGCACGTTTTTTGCAGTTTAAAATCCGAATCGAATAAACAGTGGCGCATACATTAAATATAGAAAGAACCGTTCACAGTGTTTGTCCTGCAAAAAAACACACATACATACAAACGCACATTGAATGGTGTAAAAAAGCTTGCAGTGCAATGCCGTGTGAACCCCATGACCCACTGCTGGGCACGGGTCTCCTTTCAGACGAGGGTTTAGGCCATAGTCCGCCACGCTGGCCCAATGCTGGTTGGGGACTTCACACGTCTTCCGAGGGTAGTGAACCTTCGTCAACGTGCAGGTTTCATAACGATGTTTTCCTTCACCGAAAAGCTCGTGATAAATTTATCATTAGGCTACCACGGCTACAACTACCACGGCCATTAAATACTGAACCGGGAATGCATCACAAATTTTGTTTTTCATTCAAAATTAACTGCTGCCTTGATGGATACTCATTTTTTCATTTTCACTCGTTTTGTCATTTTTTATTCCACTAGTAATTTTTGATGCTATAAATATCTAAGTTGCAGAGTCAAACAAAATAATAATGTTAGAATAAAAGTAAAGTTTAACAGTCAATGTTCGAACTCTTATATTTTTTCTCATCTCACCAAATACGTCCACCGTTTATGAACTCGTAAAATTAATCATCTAAACCTACGCAGGTCGCACATTCACTCTAATATGTATCCACATTTACAAGCTCTTCGCATATCACTTGCACTTTCACACACGTCACAAACAATTACGCACACATCACATGCACTTTCGCACACATCACACGCACTTCCACACACACCACATGCACTCAATCATCACACACACTCTCACACACTTACAATTTAATTTTTATTCTTATATTTATATATATATTTTTTTTTATTATTTTTTTTTGTTATCACTCTATTTTCCAATTAAGTATACATGTAACTTGTTAATATAGATTTATAAATATTGATCAGAATTTCTGGAGGTGGAGGCCTGGTGACCTAAAATACAGGGTATCCTAGTTTAGGCTCCAGTCTCTACAAATTTTCCTGTCATGTTTTTTACTGTAATATCTCTTATGTTTACTTAAGTTGTTACAAATTTGTGGAGGAAATAAAGAATTTACTTACTTACTATACTGAACTATTATCAAAAATGTAGTTTTAACTACTGTAAGATAAAAAAAAGTAAGATGAGGGCAGTAATGTGGCCATCATCCTTTAACGTCATCTCTCAAGGAGTAGCTGAGCCCGGGAATGGATGCGAACTATTTTTGACAAGCAACCAGTCCCGGGACCACGCGATACTCGCATTTGGGTCTATCCAGGTTCCGTTGCAATTTTAAACCGGGTTCAAATAATACAAACCCTTGTAGTGTATGTCATCTTTAAGAAGACTCGTGAAACCTTACTTGGGCGAGCTTAACGTAACGTTTTCTAAGAGGTAACGTGTGTTGAGCTATGGAACGCATGTATAGATTGAATTAATAATGAAAAGTACTTCACCTCTGGGCGTCTTGAACAACGCAATCGCGAAGCCTCCGTCGGCGATGAGCACACCCGCCTTCTCTTCGCGGAAGAATTCTTGCAACTGTTAACAGATCATAAAAAAATCAGGTTTTGATAGTGAGTGTGAGAGAAACCAATTCCTACAAGTTCTACCAGGAACTGCAGTTGTTGGAAAAGATACATACAAAAAGTATGGCTGACAGCTTGACCTACAGCTGTTCCTATATTACACAGCCTTACCATATCCAACAAGTCGTTGTCGACTTTGCCCTCCTGCCTCGGTGCGTACACGGTCACGCGGCACACGCAGTTGCCCGGCGTGTAAAATTTGCGTAGGATCTGCAAACAAATTGTAATACTGTTGATAGTAAACATCTTCAATCCATTATATATTCTACCTTTTGGTACGATCATATATTCTGGCAACTTAAGAACTGGCCCAATGGTGGTTGGTTTTTGGGTAAGCAGATTTCATCACCGCGTTTTCCTTCAATTTGGTCGTAAGTTTTTTTTCAAACTGATGAGAGGTGGTCATCGTTGCCTATGGACATTTGCAACATCAGATGGGCTTCCTATGCGTTGCCAGCCTTTGAGAGCCCTGCAAACACGTTTTTTGAAGAACCCCATGTCATACATTCTCCCTCAACTAATTCTATGTATTTAAGCCCTGTAAATCAAAACGAAATGAAAAATATTATAAAAAACTTGAAGAGTAAGTCAGTAAGTAAGTAAGTGGATATGATGAATTTCCCCCGACTCTAATCAAACAATGCAATGATGAACTAGTGGAACCTTTAACACATTTAGTAAATCAATCTTTTTCCGAAGCAACCTTTCCCGACTTGTTGAAAATCACAATTATAAAACCCGTGCCCAAATCTGGAACTGCAAATGATCCTAATAATTTTCGCCCCATAGCTCTTCTGTGTACGTTCTCAAAAATTTTTGAAGCTGCAGTGGCTAAGCGTTTGAATTCATTTTGCGAAAAATTTAAAATATATGACGACAGTCAAAATGGTTTTCGTAAAAACAGATCAACTACGTTTGCACTCTATAAGTATAGCAAAGAAATATTAAATACAATTAATAATCGGAAGTATGCTGTTGCACTGTTGTTAGACATGAGCAAAGCATATGACAGAGTATCTCATACAATTCTTTTAGGAAAATTGCATGGAGTAGGTGTACGAGGGATAGCCCTCAAATGGTTTGAATCTTACTTAGAGAATCGGCAACAGTTTGTAGATATTGAACACTACGACACGTGCAAAAAATTTTTAACTATATGCAGATCAAAAAAAGTTGTCGTAAAAAACTCAATACCACAGGGAAGTGTTTTGGGATGTGCCCTTTTTCTGTTATATATTAACGATTTACCAAAACTGGTAAGTACAAAGAGCATACTTTATGCGGACGATATTACTTTACTTTTTCAAGGTAATGATAGTGATGAATTAAAACAACAATTAAATATTACCCTAAAACAAATAATAGACTGGTTAACAGATCACAATTTAAAATGAAATATAACGAAAACTAAATTAATACAAGTAAAACCCAGACAAAAACGTCCCTTGAAATTCGATTTCTCATATGAAAATTGTAAAGTAATGTCTGTTGATTCGTGCAGTTTGTTAGGAGTAGAAATCGACTCAGGACTGAATTGGAAAAATCATGTAGATAAGGTGTCAGGAAAACTATCACGATTTACGTATGCTCTGTTCGAACTAAAGAAGTGTACAAATTTGAAAACCGCTTTGACAACATATTATGCTTATGCGTATGCATGGCTAAGTAATGGCGTCGTTTTATGGGGTAATAGTACACACGCCAACAACCTCTTCGTTCTGCAAAAGAAATGCATGCGAATTTTGGTAAATATAAGAGGAACAGATACTTGTAGACCACACTTTACCAGTTTGAATGTTTTAACACTTACCTCAAAATACATATTAGAAATTTGTAAGTTTGTAAGATAATATAGGCATCTATTTGAACAAGAAAGTAATGATACTTATAAAGCTAGATTAAGGAAAAGAAATAAATTGATTGGTTCATTTACAAATTTACACATTGTATCTTCTGGCACACACCATATGGCAATAAAAATTTATAATAAAATACCCCTCCTAATACGAAATATTGTAACGGAACGTATGTTTGTTAATAAGTTAAAGGTTTTTTTACTGTCGAACTGTTTTTACAATTTGCAAGAATTCATCGATTATAATTAATAATTTACAATGTACCTAGTGAAGTAAGTCAAATTGCTGTGCCCTTACAAGGTTTATGTTGGATCATGTTATGTATTATTTTTAAGACCTTACTGTACCACATAATGCAATAAACGATATGATATGATATGATATCGGAAAGGAAATGCTTCAGGAGGAAGATCATTCTAAATCTTGCAGGCTCGAGGAAGGAACGACTGAGATGCCCGCGTGGTCTAACTCTAACAATGCCAGGCATCTAAGATGGAGGGAGGTGCGATGGTGGAAACGAAACGGTGGCACTAGTTCGAAAAGTTTCTGAGAGCACTCTCCATTATATAGACAGTAGAATACACACAGAGAGCCAACGTCTCTCCGTAGGCTAAGGGGATCCATGCAGTCTGCGAGTTTGGGATCATCGATGGATGGAGTCAAGTTCGCTTTGATCGGCTCTTACAAATCCTGATCACAGCTGTTTCGTCAATTTTCTTTCATCCATCCTCTCTACAGGTCCGAACCGCAATTTCAAGCCGCAATGCTCTTTAAGAGGGAGCAGAGGAAAAATTCCTAATCTTCGATTTGATTTTAGAGGGGTATATCCACTTTCAAGTTAAAAATAAAATATTGTATGAGTAACTGCACGATATATTCAAGCATAGACATTAATCAGAAACATAAAACAATAAAGTTTCCTCGATAGATAAAAATCACGAAATGACCTCTAATTTTCACGTTTTCGATTCATCCTCGAAATGCTACAGGTTATTAGGACAAAAATTAGGTAATTAATTATATTTATGATCGACAACTGTCACTACGGATTTTTTTTAATCCCTTTAGTTTTAGAGTTATTCCGCTAAAACGAATTTGGTACTTTCAATGCGCAAAATTCAACATCTCCTGTCGCATGTCACGCGAACTTCAGGCATACATTTGTTTCACAAATTTGGGCGGAGCCAACGTCAAAACTTTTTTGGCACGAGAGCTCTTAATCACATTATACCTTTTGTAGTAAAAGGCGAAAAAGGTGCGATTGGCTTTCATGTCCTTCGCATTCATTTTTTACGAGCGACTTGCAAACACCGCCGACACAAAATCTAGGTTTCTTATGATCAGCAGGCTATCGTATAAGACGGATCACGTATAAGGTATTGATATCCTGTTCCGGTTCATTGTTGCCATTTTGGCTTTGGCTTTTCTAGATAAGTGATACTAGACAACACATTATTTCAATGAATATATAGTGATGCAAGCCTGATGGTGGAAAAGGAACCTAGACCCACTGACATCTGGCTAGGCACCTGCTTCGGCACCTGTGTGGATAATCATCAGAAACGACAAACCTGTTCAATTGCAAGTATCTTCTTGTCCTTCGGGTGGAAGTGCAAGTAACTGTCCTGATAGAGCTGATCTCCGCTCTCGAGGATTTGATCCAGGGTTTTCACGCACCAGCGGCATACATCTTCTACGCGGGACATCGCCACTGCCATCACTGAGCAAGCCAGAGCCTATGGGTGCCAAGAAACAAAAAAATTAATAAACTTTGTTTTTCGCCTTGACAACCTTCTTTCTTTTAATAATAACGCACTTGCAGCATTATAAACATCGCCACAGTGACATGGCGATCGTTGTACATACAAGATCTCTCGTAAAACGTGAAAATGCCAAGTTGTAGCAATACAGCTTGTAAAAATTGGAGTAAAACAAAAATTTTAAAACCAGTGAGTTTACATTCCACCGGCTATTATCATTTTAGTTACTATTTCTATTATTATTCAATGTTTTCTCTTTGTCTCCATAGAAATTTCTAGACTCAAATATAGTGATGTTCATTTACGCTGACTGATGTTTATCGACAATAAATTTTTACTGAAATGTTTGAATTTCTTACTGTGATCTTTGTAATTAAAGTCCCTAAAATATCGAAGCGAAAAGCATTCACGTTAAATTGATTTATTTTATTATTATTATTACTAAACCTTTTATTTCGAGTAACTTTAACACAACTCAAATTTCGGACAACCGTTTCAATTTCATGTCAATTTGTATGTTGCTGTCGCTTGTAGAAAAATGTATGTGTATTATTGTTTTAGATAATTTAGATGTTTAAATTCCATTGTACTCGTACATTAAACGTAGAGTATTTTTAATTTTTAAGTTTTTCCAATAAGTTAAAAATAAAAGCAGGTTGGATTGAAGCTGCAGGAAAATCGAAAGATAGGTTTTCTTATTACTATTTCTTACTTTGTTTAAATTTCCATAGCAAATACATTTAGAAAATAAGTAAAATAAAATCGGGTTTATTTTACATGTGCACGCAAAATAAATTAGAAACGATTATAGAAAAGTACATAAATCCTTTATAAAAAACATAATTTATTAAATTCGTTGATGGTTCGAGTTTACTGTTGACAGTGACAGCTTCACCAACCAGTGGTAACGTATAACGGAAAACTGACACTGGCGACGATCGATCGCCACATTTTTTTTATTATTCATATAAAACTGACACTGGCCCAAGCCTAGTGGCCGCCATTACGAAAATAATAATATATTAATTTAATAATACACCAGTACCAGTGTAGGTATAGTACGAAAAATGGAATATTTTTTAATATTAAAAACAGCCACATGGATTCTATCGACTAGGTAGGACCATATCCCTCGGTGAGTAGCGTCAGTTTAAGGTTAATAAGGTTAACAATTCACGGAGCGGTTTCCATCTGCGCCCGCCGGTACTGCTAGACAGCGGTTTTATTTAAATACTCACGACCCTGCAAGTTTGGGCGGGCACGTAGCCGCCGCGGTTGCGGGCACGAAACCATTGCGATTGCGGAACGGACCGCGAAGTTAGTGGGAGTTAATCGCAAGTCGCGCGGTTAATAGAGAACTCATCCCGCGTGCGCCTGCACCACATTGCGCCTGAACCGATCGCTAAAGTGATCGCGTCCTGCGCGGTTCTACTAGTGCTCCGCCGCGGCAACCGCGAGCAACCGTCACCACCACAGGCGTAAAATGCGCCGTGAAATGTGCTACTAATTTAACATACTTGAACTATTACATTCTACAGATGCCGCGGTCCCGCGGCAGACGCTGGTGAAAACCGCTCCGTGACTTCTTAGTGTAACGAAAAATGAGTTCTCCATTTAACGTGTAATAGTTAGCTATTATATACTAATTGCATTTTTACTAAAACGCCACCTGATGGTGAATGGCTGATCCAGGATGAAAAAATACTGAAATATTGTAATATAACTCTTACTCAAGTGACTGTAAGTTTAATTTTTTTTAATTCTAAAATTGTGTTTCATCGTTTTCACGTTTTAAGCCCTACCCAATCAAAATCTTTAAGTTATGGTAGTAGATAATAGAGCGTAAACTTTGAATTGCACACAAGCTAAAAAGTGGCGACATCGGTACCCAATCTTACATGGCGTCATTGCATATATCCCTTTTTTCCTATATTTATAATTATAACCTGGAAACTAACCTGGCATCCTCTAGAAGCATACGCGAACTTTTTGCAGGCGATCGAGTGGTTGGCCGACATGTACTGGGTACCGTCGTTGAGGACAAGCCAGCCGTTCGTGTTGCGGCGGCCTGGGAAGGATTGAAGGTAATGTGAGGGTAGGGTAGGGTAGCGCAGCATAGGGTAGCGTAGCGTATGGCAGCGTAGCGTAGGGTAGTGTAGCGTAGTATGTTTTATTTCATTACTATTTTATAGAATAGAATAGAATACGTTTACTTGCCAGAATACAGTAATTACAAAGGTCTTAAGTAAAATTAGGTACATTGTATTCAATCTGCAAGCAGATGTGCAAATATTAATGGGATTTAATATTTATTTAGTCTCTATAGTTTCTAATTAATGTAATGAATAAGTAAATTCTAATTATTCTTTATTACTATAGAAGCAACGTGTCAAAAGCCATTTTGTCAATTTTAATTTAAAAGTATGTCCTTGTAACAATTTAATTTCGTTTGGTAATTTATTGTAAATAATTATATACATGTTCAAGCAGTTATTGTTATAAATTACTTTATGGCAACGAAGTTGGTATAAGAGATTCATAATTTTTGCTCTAGTTTGCCTTTGAATGACTTCACCGCGTATTTTAAAATATTGAGGATGACAGTTGACAAATACGCAGATATCCCTAATGTACATGCATGGCAAAGGTAATTATGTTCAGCCTTTTGAACAGCGGTTTGCAACTGTCATCGAACCACGCACCGCAAATTGCTCGAATACACTTCTTCTGGACCTTAAACGCTCTTTCTAAGATTTATTTAGCATTACCATTGTATACCTCCTGACATTGTGCGCAAATAAGCCGGAGTTTAGTAAAACCTAATTATAACACCAGTCCAAGCAATAGCACGTAGCTATATTATACTCCGATGAATTAGTGATGTCCTAATGCGTCCTAAGTTTTAATCGTGAATGTGAACGGGTTCAAAAAAGAACTGTCTGATTGGAATGCTGATGTTGCATTTGACAATTTGTGTACTAAGGAATTAGTAATAATTAATGTTAATGAGGATTCTAGTGATGATTCCCGTTCATATGAAGATGAATCCGATGATTCATTATAATAAACAATAAGAATTTATTATAATTATTTATCATTTATTTTATTTCATTATAATTTTTTAAACAGGTACCAAAATTTCTCAATTAGAATAATCTTCGTTACATAATCTGTTGGCTCGATAAATATTGGAGCTAAAGAGCACGTCGTTTCACTGAAATTAAAAATAAACAAGTCCAGGAATTTATCTATGGTTGTATGTCAATAATTACGGAACTATATATAATAGAATAACTTCGGAGGCATGCATGTCAAAAGTTAAATAAATTGTTTCAGGTAAAACGCCTGATAGTTTTGCGTGAGCAAAGTGGTTTAAAATCGATTTCGATACGTTATTAATAGGAAACGTTTTACGCTGTCCCATTACATAGCGACGGCTTTTTTACAACAGCGGTTTGTATCAAAAAACCTTAATTGATCAGGATAATAGTTAAAAAAAGTTGATGCTCGTTACGTGAATTTTAACCAATGAAAACTCTGTGTCATAAAATATAGCAACTTCTGAATACTGCTGTTTTGTTTTGGTTTGTGTGTATTCTTAATCAGAACAGAGTACTAAGAAAACCGACCTCAAAAGTCATTCATCCCCTAGTTTGCCATCCTTAGAGGTGGAATATTTTCTTCAAATTTAAATGGAACCACATCTGAGGTACCTACCCTCTTTCCAACAAAAAAGAGTCATCAAAATCGGTTCGCAAATGCTGAAATTATCGCACACGTAAAATACATACAATACATACAAAAAAAAGCATACAGTTAAAACCGACGACCTCAAGGATGACCTGGATATACAGCGCGAACGGAGAGCACTCTCGGTGAGAGCAAACATGCTTGCCCGCAGGTTCGCCAGATGTACGGCAGCAGTTAAGAAAACCAATGTACACTAGCGCTCTGTGGAAGAGTTACACTCAGTGCTCTCGGAATGCTCTGTGCGTGCAATACAACAACGCCTTCAGGACGCTGTTGGGGCTGTCACGTTTCTGCAGTGCCTCAGTCATGTTCACTGACGCGCGCGTAGATAGTTTTACGGCTGTTGTACGTAAAAAGTCCGCGTCGCTACTGAAGAGAATACGTGACAGCCCCAATAGCCTCCTGAACACAGTTGCTGACAGGAATGAGTGCCCAATTATGCGGCACTTAATACATAATACACAATCCCTGGTAAAATATAAGTACTAATATAGTTTTAAGTCTGTACCTACTAACATTTGATTGGATCTCAGTTGTCTCAATTTTCTCAATTAAAAAGAAGAACTACAATTTGGGTTATTACTATAACTACTGATTTTCGACCGCTGTTCACGCTCACGTAACAAAGGGATATAGACAATATCAAAATCTACTTCTATAAGTGTATCTCCATTATTGAAGGTGGACAATCAGTTTTCTATATCTTTCTTTGTCCAGAGCTAGCCTGAACAGTTGTTCTTATATGTATGTCCACTCCCTGATGTTACGAAGCCAAGGCATTTTCCTTCTTCCAACCTTCCGCTTCCCAGCTACTTTGCCCTTCATTATAGTGTGCAATATATGAAATCTGTCATGTCGCAGTACATGACCCACAGTCTACGTTGGCCAAATACTCCAGTGGACGTATCTTTGATGCATTTTATAAACTTTCCACAATCAGTAATCAACACGCCTATCTATCTATACTGTCGTAGGATAGTTGCAGTTCCAAGAGCTTTAAATGGCAAGGATCTGACTGCCACTGCACCTGGACACCCTGAGACAAAGTTGAAGTCTCATGTGACTGTAGTCTCACCACCCTTCAAAACCAGAAAGTAGAAATGTTTACATTAGGTACTGTTTGGCGGCGGAAATGGTAAGGGGCAGGACTACCCTGGACGACTCTTTCACAAGGAAGCTCGACTGCTACTAAATAAAAGTTATGTATAGTACCTTCTTCCACGAGAGCATCAACGTTTAAATGAAAATCTTCGGATAAATGATCTAAAGATAACGGTTTTGCTTCATACTTTTTTTGTTTCGACATCTTTTTGCTTTTATATCACATGTTATAACTTTATAAATTTAACTGTAGATACTTTTGAAATATTTATTTAAGTACACGTGTGTTACTAAATTAACGCATATTGTTTGATATTACTACTTACTATCCGATAGATAGTTGTTATTTGAACTGTAGCAACATTTTAATTTGATATTAATTTAATTTTGTAAACAATTTTGTTTTGTCAGTTTTGACAAGGACTTGTCGATTTGTAAAGAGGTTATTTGAAATAAATACTTTTTAGACCCTCAACGAAAAAAGTTCCGTTTGGTATGCCTGTTTGTGGCATTGTGTTGGTGTACCAGAATCTCAAGGCATTAAATATTAGAGCAATCGAACGATTTTCAATTGGCAATGTTAACTTGTCACATGTCAATCCAAAATATTACTTGTGTCAAATGGCTGTCTG